CTGCTCGAACTGTTCTGATTTGAATTTTGCGTTTTTGCTCTAAAATTGTTCCATTTGCGCTAACTCGATTTTAAATACTCTTTAGTGTTCCAATTGCTCTAATTATGTTCCGGTTGCACTTAATTCTATTTGAATTGCGAATTACTCTAACTGTTCCAATTGTTCTAAATATGTTTTATCTGCACTAACTCTGTTCTAACTACTCTGAATCATTCAAATTATTTACTGTAACAACTAATCAACTTGTAAAAATACTTGCACTGGTTTTGTTCAAATTGTTCTTTTTTTATTTTTGACTCTGCTCGAACTGTTCTGATTTGAATTTTGCGTTTTTGCTCTAAAATTGTTCCATTTGCGCTAACTCGATTTTAATTACTCTTTAGAGTTCCAATTGCTCTAATTATGTTCCGGTTGCACTTAATTCTATTTGAATTGCGAATTACTCTAACTGTTCCAATTGTTCTAAATCTGTTTTATCTGCACTAACTCTGTTCTAACTACTCTGAATCATTCAAATTATTTACTGTAACAACTAATCAACTTGTAAAAATACTTGCACTGGTTTTGTTCAAATTGTTCTTTTTTTATTTTTGACTCTGCTCGAACTGTTCTGATTTGAATTTTGCGTTTTTGCTCTAAAATTGTTCCATTTGCGCTAACTCGATTTTAAATACTCTTTAGTGTTCCAATTGCTCTAATTATGTTCCGGTTGCACTTAATTCTATTTGAATTGCGAATTACTCTAACTGTTCCAATTGTTCTAAATCTGTTTTATCTGCACTAACTCTGTTCTAACTACTCTGAATCATTCAAATTATTTACTGTAACAACTAATCAACTTGTAAAAATACTTGCACTGGTTTTGTTCAAATTGTTCTTTTTTTATTTTTGACTCTGCTCGAACTGTTCTGATTTGAATTTTGCGTTTTTGCTCTAAAATTGTTCCATTTGCGCTAACTCGATTTTAAATACTCTTTAGTGTTCCAATTGCTCTAATTATGTTCCGGTTGCACTAAATTCTATTTGAATTGCGAATTACTCTAACTGTTCCAATTGTTCTAAATCTGTTTTATCTGCACTAACTCTGTTCTAACTACTCTGAATCATTCAAATTATTTACTGTAACAACTAATCAACTTGTAAAAATACTTGCACTGGTTTTGTTCAAATTGTTCTTTTTTTATTTTTGACTCTGCTCGAACTGTTCTGATTTGAATTTTGCGTTCTTGCTCTAAAATTGTTCCATTTGCGCTAACTCGATTTTAATTACTCTTTAGTGTTCCAATTGCTCTAATTATGTTCCGGTTGCACTTAATTCTATTTGAATTGCGAATTACTCTAACTGTTCCAATTGTTCTAAATCTGTTTTATCTGCACTAACTCTGTTCTAACTACTCTGAATCATTCAAATTATTTACTGTAACAACTAATCAACCTGTAAAAATACTTGCACTGGTTTTGTTCAAATTGTTATTTTTTTATTTTTGACTCTGCTCGAACTGTTCTGATTTGAATTTTGCGTTCTTGCTCTAAAATTGTTCCATTTGCGCTAACTCGATTTTAAATACTCTTTAATGTTCCAATTGTTCTAATTATGTTCCGGTTGCACTTAATTCTATTTGAATTGCGAATTACTCTAACTGTTCCAATTGTTCTAAATCTGTTTTATCTGCACTAACTCTGTTCTAACTACTCTGAATCATTCAAATTATTTATTGTAACAACTAATCAACCTGTAAAAATACTTGCACTGGTTTTTTTCAAATTGTTCTTTTTTTATTTTTGACTCTGCTCGAACTGTTCTGATTTGAATTTTCCGTTTTTGCTCTAAAATTGTTCCATTTGCGCTAACTCGATTTTAATTACTCTTTAGTGTTCCAATTGCTCTAATTATGTTCCGGTTGCACTTAATTCTATTTGAATTGCGAATTACTCTAACTGTTCCAATTGTTCTAAATATGTTTTATTTGCACTAGCTCTGTTCTAACTACTCTGAATCATTCAAATTATTTATTGTAACAACTAATCAACCTGTAAAAATACTTGCACTGGTTTTTTTCAAATTGTTCTTTTTTTATTTTTGACTCTGCTCGAACTGTTCTGATTTGAATTTTCCGTTTTTGCTCTAAAATTGTTCCATTTGCGCTAACTCGATTTTAATTACTCTTTAGTGTTCCAATTGCTCTAATTATGTTCCGGTTGCACTTAATTCTATTTGAATTGCGAATTACTCTAACTGTTCCAATTGTTCTAAATATGTTTTATTTGCACTAGCTCTGTTCTAACTACTCTGAATCATTCAAATTATTTACTGTAACAACTAATCAACCTGTAAAAATACTTGCACTGGTTTTGTTCAAATTGTTCTTTTTTTATTTTTGACTCTGCTCGAACTGTTCTGATTTGAATTTTGCGTTCTTGCTCTAAAATTGTTCCATTTGCGCTAACTCGATTTTAATTACTCTTTAGTGTTCCAATTGCTCTAATTATGTTCCGGTTGCACTTAATTCTATTTGAATTGCGAATTACTCTAACTGTTCCAATTGTTCTAAATCTGTTTTATCTGCACTAACTCTGTTCTAACTACTCTGAATCATTCAAATTATTTATTGTAACAACTAATCAACCTGTAAAAATACTTGCACTGGTTTTGTTCAAATTGTTCTTTTTTTATTTTTGACTCTGCTCGAACTGTTCTGATTTGAATTTTGCGTTTTTGCTCTAAAATTGTTCCATTTGCGCTAACTCGATTTTAAATACTCTTTAGTGTTCCAATTGCTCTAATTATGTTCCGGTTGCACTTAATTCTATTTGAATTGCGAATTACTCTAACTGTTCCAATTGTTCTAAATCTGTTTTATCTGCACTAACTCTGTTCTAACTACTCTGAATCATCCAAAATTCAAATTATTTACTGTAACAACTAATCAACTTGTAAAAATACTTGCACTGGTTTTGTTCAAATTGTTCTTTTTTTATTTTTGACTCTGCTCGAACTGTTCTGATTTGAATTTTGCGTTCTTGCTCTAAAATTGTTCCATTTGCGCTAACTCGATTTTAAATACTCTTTAGTGTTCCAATTGCTCTAATTATGTTCCGGTTGCACTTAATTCTATTTGAATTGCGAATTACTCTAACTGTTCCAATTGTTCTAAATCTGTTTTATCTGCACTAACTCTGTTCTAACTACTCTGAATCATCCAAAATTCAAATTATTTACTGTAACAACTAATCAACTTGTAAAAATACTTGCACTGGTTTTGTTCAAATTGTTCTTTTTTTATTTTTGACTCTGCTCGAACTGTTCTGATTTGAATTTTGCGTTTTTGCTCTAAAATTGTTCCATTTGCGCTAACTCGATTTTAAATACTCTTTAGTGTTCCAATTGCTCTAATTATGTTCCGGTTGCACTTAATTCTATTTGAATTGCGAATTACTCTAACTGTTCCAATTGTTCTAAATCTGTTTTATCTGCACTAACTCTGTTCTAACTACTCTGAATCATTCAAATTATTTACTGTAACAACTAATCAACCTGTAAAAATACTTGCACTGGTTTTGTTCAAATTGTTCTTTTTTTATTTTTGACTCTGCTCGAACTGTTCTGATTTGAATTTTGCGTTTTTGCTCTAAAATTGTTCCATTTGCGCTAACTCGATTTTAAATACTCTTTAGTGTTCCAATTGCTCTAATTATGTTCCGGTTGCACTTAATTCTATTTGAATTGCGAATTACTCTAACTGTTTCAATTGTTCTAAATCTGTTTTATCTGCACTAACTCTGTTCTAACTACTCTGAATCATCCAAAATTCAAATTATTTACTGTAACAACTAATCAACTTGTAAAAATACTTGCACTGGTTTTGTTCAAATTGTTCTTTTTTTATTTTTGACTCTGCTCGAACTGTTCTGATTTGAATTTTGCGTTTTTGCTCTAAAATTGTTCCATTTGCGCTAACTCGATTTTAATTACTCTTTAGTGTTCCAATTGCTCTAATTATGTTCCGGTTGCACTTAATTCTATTTGAATTGCGAATTACTCTAACTGTTCCAATTGTTCTAAATATGTTTTATTTGCACTAACTCTGTTCTAACTACTCTGAATCATTCAAATTATTTACTGTAACAACTAATCAACTTGTAAAAATACTTGCACTGGTTTTGTTCAAATTGTTCTTTTTTTATTTTTGACTCTGCTCGAACTGTTCTGATTTGAATTTTGCGTTTTTGCTCTAAAATTGTTCCATTTGCGCTAACTCGATTTTAATTACTCTTTAGTGTTCCAATTGCTCTAATTATGTTCCGGTTGCACTTAATTCTATTTGAATTGCGAATTACTCTAACTGTTCCAATTGTTCTAAATATGTTTTATTTGCACTAACTCTGTTCTAACTACTCTGAATCATTCAAATTATTTACTGTAACAACTAATCAACCTGTAAAAATACTTGCACTGGTTTTGTTCAAATTGTTCTTTTTTTATTTTTGACTCTGCTCGAACTGTTCTGATTTGAATTTTGCGTTTTTGCTCTAAAATTGTTCCATTTGCGCTAACTCGATTTTAATTACTCTTTAGTGTTCCAATTGCTCCAATTTTCTTTACTCACGATAAATAGAATTCTATTCAGTCGATGTCGAAAATTCATCAATAGGAAACTGTGTTTGAATAGAATTCTATTTATCGTATGAAACGAAATTTCGAACTGAATTTTTCAAAATCGCGATAAATAGAATTCTATTGAATTGAGAACCATTAAAACATTGAAATTAAACACTTGGTGCAAAGTAGAACAGTTAGTGCAGAATCAGTGCAAATCGTGGCAAAATTGGAGACCCTTTTACAGAAAACTATTATTTTTACAGTGCACTGTAAAATAACTACAGGTATTAGGCATAGATGGCGCCACTATAATGAAGTGGCAACAAGGATACAAGGAGAATGACAGTAGAAGGATAGCCAAGATTTATTGGGCATGTGATGACGTCACCATAAAGACTCTTAAATTGATTTTTAGAGTAAAATATAATAATAAAATACAAAATAATTATTAAAATATTTAAAAATATGCCTGAAACCTCAATAATGTCAATAATGGATAAAATACATAATATACAGGGTGTCTAAAATTAAATCTGGGTATATTTTTGCCACAAATAAAGTGCCAAAACCCCTCCCAAAAACGGCCCCAAACCACCCAAAACCCCTTTGACCAATCGCATCAAAAACGGCGGCCGCTTGGCCAACATGAACCGCAAATATGCGATCTTGCCATTGGTCAGGGGCGGGTACTTGGCCGCCCCCAAAACTTCGCCGACCAATCCCAGGTCTTTATACAAAATCGCCTTTTTGTGCGAGAACGTATCCAAGCTGAATTTGCCATGGTAGCCGCCCATTCCGCTGTTGCCAACTCCACCAAAAGGCAACGTATCAACGACTAGTTGCATTATGACGTCATTAACGCATACGCTTCCTGGAAAAATAGGAAAACGTGACAACAATGTCGAAAAAAAAAAAAAGATGATAGCTGTCACAATGTCAAAAGTTAATTTTTTTTTTTTTGCAAAAGCTTTGATTTTGACATATCAATATCGACATAAAACATGATTTTCAAAAATTGTACTAGAATTAGTACATTTTTAATTTTTTTAGTACAATTTATGTTTTTGAAAATTTTAACATCAATATCATTGTAAAACATTGATTTCCAGATTTGTACTAGATTTAGTACATTTATTATTTTTTTAGTACAATTCATGTTTTTGAAAATTTTGACGTCAATATCGATTTAAAACAGTAATTTCCATAATTGTACTAGATTTAGTACATTTTTTTTTTTTTAGTACATTTGATGTTTTTGGAAATTTTGACATGTCTATCAATATCAACATAAAACATAATTTTCAAAATTGTACTAGAATTAGTACATTTGTAATTTTTCTAGTACAATTCATTTTTTGGAAATTTTGACATAACAACATCGATATAAAACATGAATATCAAAAATTGTACTAGAATTAGTACATTTGTAACTTTTTTAGTACATTTCATGTTTTTGAAAATTTTGACATCATTGAATTCCCGAATTGTACTATATTTAGTACATTTATTATTTTTTTTAGTAAATTTGACATATCAATATCGACATAAAACTTGATTTTCAAAAATTGTACTAAAATTAGTACATATATAAATTTTTTAGTAGAATTCATGTTTTTCAAAATTTTGACATCAATATCGATATAAAACATGATTTTTAGAAATTGTACTAGAATTGGTGCATTTGTGATTTTTTTAGTACAATTCATGTTTTTGAAAATTTTGACATCAATATCGATGTAAAACATATTTTTACAAATTGTACTACATATAGTACATTTATACATTTTTTAGTACAATTCATGTTTCTGAAAAAAATTAAAACATGATTATCAGAAATTGTACTAGAACTGGTACATTTGCAATTTTTTTAATACAATTCATGTTTTTGAACATTTTGACATCAATATCAATGTAAACATTGATTTCCAGAATTGTACTAGATTTAGTACATTCAATATTTTTTCTAGTACATATCATGCTTTTCCAAATTTTGACATATCAATATCGACATAAAACATGATTTTCAAAAATTGTACTAGAAATAGTACATTTGTAATTTTTTTAGTACAATTCAAGTTTTCGAAAATTTTGACTTTTGACATATTAATATCAATCGACATAAAATATGATTTTCAAAAATTGTACCAGAATTGGTACATTTAAAATTTTTTTAGTACAATTCATGTTTTTGAAAATTTTGACATCAATATCGATATAAAACATGATTTTCGGAAATTGTACTAAAATTGGTAATTTTTTTAGTACAATCCATGTTTTTGAAAATTTTGACATAGCAATATCGACATAAAACGTGAATTTTGAAAAATTGTACTAGAATTAGTACATTTGTAATTTTTTTAGTACAATTCATGTTTTTGAAAATTTTGACATCAATATCAATGTAAAACATCATTGTACTACATTTATATTTTTTTTAGTACATTTAATTTTTTGAAAATTTTGACATATCAATATCAACATGAAACATGATTTTCAAAAATTGTACTTGTATTAGTACATTTATAAATTTTTTAGTACAATTAATTTTTTTCAAAATTTTGATATTAATATCGATGTAAAACATATTTTTACAAATTGTACTACATATAGTACTTTTATACATTTTTTAGTACAATTCATGTTTCTGAAAAAAATTAAAACATGATTATCAGAAATTGTACTAGAATTGGTACATTTGTAATTTTTTTAATACAATTCATGTTTTTGAACATTTTGACATCAATATTAATGTAAACATTGATTTCCAGAATTGTACTAGATTTAGTACATTCAATATTTTTTCTAGTACATATCATGCTTTTCAAAATTTTGACATATCAATATCGACATAAAACATGATTTTCAAAAATTGTACTATAAATAGTACATTTGTAATTTTTTTAGTACAATTCAAGTATTCGAAAATTTTGACTTTTGAGATATTAATATCGATCGACATAGAATATGATTTTCAAAAATTGTACCAGAATTAGTACATTTATAATTTTTTTAGTACAATTCATGTTTTTGAAAATTTTGACATTAATATCAATGTAAAACATTGATTTCCAGAATTGCACTTACTAGATTTAGTACGTATATATTTTTTTAGTACAATTTATGTTTTTGAATATTTTAACATATTAATATCGACATAAAACATGATTTTCAAAAATTGTACTAAAATTAGTATATTTGTAATTTTTTTAGTACAATTCATGTTTTTGAAAATTTTGACATCAATAATAATGTAAAATATTGATTTCCAAAATTGTACTAGATTTAGTACATTTATACATTTTTCTAGTACATTTCATGTTTCTCAAAATTTTGATATATCAATATCCACATAAAATATGAATTTCAAAAATTGTACTAAAGTTAGTACATTTGTAATTTTTCCAGTACAATTAATATTTTTGAAAGTTTTGACATATCAATATCAACATAAAATATGATTTTCGAAAATTGTACTAGAATAAGTACACTTGTAATTTTTTTAGTACAATTCAAGTCAACAACTACTTACCAGAACTGGTATTTTTTAGCAACAACTCCACGTCAGCCTTCCTATTAGAAAACACATACAAAGCTAGTGGTTTTTCTCTCTCCTGCAGATAATCGATAGCCTCCTTCACGTCGGCCACATTAACAACAGGCAAAATGGGCCCGAAAATTTCTTGTTGCAACACCGCTGCGTCACTTTTGACATCTGTCAAAACTGTCAAACCCATAAACCGATCGTGCGCGTCAGTGTCGCCCCCTAGGGCAACAGTGCCGCCCTCTAGGAGCCCTTGCAGACGCTCAAAGTGCCGATCGTTGACGATCCGGCCCAAATCGGGCGATCGTTTAAGATCGGGTCCGTAAAATTCTCTAAGAATAAGGGTGGCGGTTTCTAGGAATTTTTTTTCGACTTCTTTGGTGCACAAAAGGTAATCGGGGGCGACGCATGTTTGGCCCATGTTGGTCATTTTGCCCCAAATTATGCGTTTTGTTGCGGTTTTGATGTCGGCCGAACTGTCAATGTAACACGGCGATTTTCCTAGAAAAAAATTGTTTTTTTTGGAATTCCTTTTTAAAAGTTTCATTCCAAAAAAATGTCTTTTTTGACAGGCTTTTACCTCCCAATTCCAAAGTGACAGGTGTCAAGTGTCGGTTGGCGGCTGCGTGGACGATTTTCCCGACGGCGGTGTTGCCAGTGTAGAAAATGTAGTCGAATCGCTGTTTTAGTAGGTCGGTGGTTTCGGGAATTCCGCCGTTCATGACCTTAAAAAAAAAGAAAAATTTTGGCAACGCTGTCAAAACTCAAATATTTGTCCAGTTGTTTGAGTTTTTATATATTTTTGAATTTGAACTCAGAAAAAAAAATTAGGCTCAGAAAATATCTTCAATTAAAAATTAAAGTTCAAGAAAAATCTAAAGTTGAAAATCAGGCTCAGAAAAAAATTTGAACTCAGAAAAAAATTTAAGGTTCAGAAAATATCTTTAATTGGAAATTAAAATTCAGAAAAAATCTAAAATTGAAAATCAGGCTCAGAAAAAAATTTGAACTCAGAAAAAAATTTTAGGTTCAGAAAATATCTTTAATTGGAAATTAAAATTCAGAAAAAATCTAAAATTGAAAATCAAGCTCAGAAAAAATTTTGAACTCAGAAAAAAATTTTAGAATCAGAAAATATCTTTAATTGGAAATTAAAATTCAGGAAAAATCTAAAATTGAAAATCAAGCTCAGAAAAAAATTTGAACTCCGAAAAAAATTTAAGGTTCAGAAAATATCTTTAATTGGAAATTAAAATTCAGAAAAAATCTAAAATTGAAAATCAAGCTCAGAAAAAAATTTGAACTCAGAAAAAAAAATTAGGCTCAGAAAATATCTTCAATTAAAAATTAAAGTTCAAGAAAAATCTAAAGTTGAAAATCAGGCTCAGAAAAAAATTTGAACTTTAGAAAAAAATTTAAGGTTCAGAAAATATCTTTAATTGGAAATTAAAATTCAGGAAAAATCTAAAATTGAAAATCAAGCTCAGAAAAAAATTTGAACTCAGAAAAAAATTTTAGAATCAGAAAATATCTTTAATTGGAAATTAAAATTCAGAAAAAATCTAAAATTGAAAATCAAGCTCAGAAAAAATTTTGAACTCAGAAAAAAATTTTAGAATCAGAAAATATCTTTAATTGGAAATTAAAATTCAGGAAAAATCTAAAATTGAAAATCAGGCTCAGAAAAAAATTTGAACTCAGAAAAAAAATTTAGGCTCAGAAAATATCTTCAATTAAAAATTAAAGTTCAAGAAAAATCTAAAATTGAAAATCAGGCTCAGAAAAAAATTTGAACTCAGAAAAAAATTTTAGAATCAGAAAATATCTTCAATTAAAAATTAAAGTTCAAGAAAAATCTAAAATTGAAAATCAGGCTCAGAAAAAAATTTGAATTCAGAAAAAAATTTAAGGTTCAGAAAATATCTTTAATTGGAAATTGAAATTCAGGAAAAATCTAGAATTGAAAATCAAGCTCAGAAAAAAATTTGAACTCATAAAAAAATTTAGGCTCAGAAAATATCTTCAATTAAAAATTAAAGTTCAAGAAAAATCTAAAATTGAAAATCAGGCTCAGAAAAAAATTTGAACTCAGAAAAAAATTTAAGGTTCAGAAAATAACTTTAATTGGAAATTAAAATTCAGGAAAAATCTAAAATTGAAAATCAGGCTCAGAAAAAAATTTGAACTCAGAAAAAAATTTTAGAATCAGAAAATATCTTCAATTAAAAATTAAAGTTCAAGAAAAATCTAAAATTGAAAATCAGGCTCAGAAAAAAATTTGAACTCAGAAAAAAATTTAAGGTTCAGAAAATAACTTTAATTGGAAATTAAAATTCAGGAAAAATCTAAAATTGAAAATCAGGCTCAGAAAAAAATTTGAACTCAGAAAAAAATTTTAGAATCAGAAAATATCTTCAATTAAAAATTAAAGTTCAAGAAAAATCTAAAATTGAAAATCAGGCTCAGAAAAAAATTTGAACTCAGAAAAAAATTTTAGAATCAGAAAATATCTTCAATTAAAAATTAAAGTTCAAGAAAAATCTAAAATTGAAAATCAGGCTCAGAAAAAAATTTGAACTCAGAAAAAAATTTAAGGTTCAGAAAATAACTTTAATTGGAAATTAAAATTCAGGAAAAATCTAAAATTGAAAATCAGGCTCAGAAAAAAATTTGAACTCAGAAAAAAAATTTAGGCTCAGAAAATATCTTCAATTAAAAATTAAAGTTCAAGAAAAATCTAAAATTGAAAATCAGGCTCAGAAAAAAATTTGAACTCAGAAAAAAATTTTAGAATCAGAAAATATCTTCAAATGGAAATTAAAGTTCAGGAAAAATCCAAAATTGAAAATCAGGCTCAGAAAAAAATTTGAACTCAGAAAAAAATTTAAGGTTCAGAAAATATCTTCAAATGGAAATTAAAGTTCAGGAAAAATCTAAAATTGAAAATCAAGCTCAGAAAAAAATTTGAACTCAGAAAAAAATTTTAGGCTCAGAAAATATCTTTAATTAAAAATTAAAGTTCAAGAAAAATCTAAAATTGAAAATCAGGCTCAGAAAAAAATTTGAACTCAGAAAAAAATGATAGGCTCAGAAAATATCTTTAATTGAAAATTAAAGTTCAAGAAAATTTTAAAATTGAAAATCAGGCTCAGAAAAAAATTTGAACTCAGAAAAAAATTTAAGGTTCAGAAAATATCTTTAATTGGAAATTGAAATTCAGGAAAAATCTAAAATTGAAAATCAAGCTCAGAAAAAAATTTGAACTCAGAAAAAAATTTAAGGTTCAGAAAATATCTTCAATTAAAAATTAAAGTTCAAGAAAAATCTAATATTGAAAATCAGGCGCAGAAAAAAATTTGAACTCAGAAAAAATTTAAGGTTCAGAAAATATCTTTAATTGGAAATTAAAATTCAGGAAAAATCTAAAATTGAAAATCAAGCTCAGAAAAAAATTTGAACTCAGAAAAAAATTTTAGAATCAGAAAATATCTTTAATTGGAAATTAAAATTCAGGAAAAATCTAAAATTGAAAATCAAGCTCAGAAAAAAATTTGAACTCAGAAAAAAAAATTAGGCTCAGAAAATATCTTCAATTAAAAATTAAAGTTCAAGAAAAATCTAAAGTTGAAAATCAGGCTCAGAAAAAAATTTCAACTCAGAAAAAAATTTAAGGTTCAGAAAATATATTTAATTGGAAATTAAAATTCAGGAAAAAACTAAAATTGAAAATCAAGCTCTGAAAAAAATTTGAACTCAGAAAAAAATTTTAGGCTCAGAAAATATCTTCAATTAAAAATTAAAGTTCAAGAAAAATCTAAAATCGAAAATCAGGCTCAGAAAAAAATTTGAACTCGGAAAAAAATTTTAGGATCAGAAAATATCTTCAATTTGAAATTGAAGTTCAGGAAAAATCTAAAATTGAAAATCAGGCTCAGAAAAAAATTTGAACTCGGAAAAAAATTTAAGGTTCAGAAAATATCTTTAATTGGAAATTAAAATTCAGGAAAAATCTAAAATTGAAAATCAAGCTGAGAAAAATATTTGAACTCTGAAAAAAAATTTGGGCTCAGAAAATATCTTCAATTAAAAATTAGAGTTCAAGAAAAATTTAAAATTGAAAATCAGGCTCAGAAAAAAATTTGAACTCAGAAAAAAATTTAAGGTTCAGAAAATATCTTTCATTGGAAATTAAAATTCAGGAAAAATCTAAAATTGAAAATCAGGCTCAGAAAAAAATTTGAACTCAGAAAAAAATTAAAGGTTCAGAAAATATCTTTAATTGGAAATTAAATTCAGGAAAAATCTAAAATTGAAAATCAAGCTCAGAAAAAAATTTGAACTCAGAAAAAAAATTTAGGCTCAGAAAATATCTTCAATTAAAAATTAAAGTTCAAGAAAAATCTAAAATCGAAAATCAGGCTCAGAAAAAAATTTGAACTCAGAAAAAAATTTTAGAATCAGAAAATATCTTCAATTTAAAATTAAAGTTCAAGAAAAATCTAAAATTGAAAAGCAGGCTCAGAAAAAAATTTGAACTCAGAAAAAAATTTTAGAATCAGAAAATATCTTCAATTAAAAATTAAAGTTCAAGAAAAATCTAAAATTGAAAATCAGGCTCAGAAAAAAAAATTTGAACTCTGAAAAAAATATAAGGTTCAGAAAATATCTTAAATTGGAAACTAAAATTCAGGAAAAATCTAAAATTGAAAATCAAGCTCAGAAAAAAATTTGAACTCAGAAAAAAATTTTAGAATCAGAAAATATCTTTAATTGGAAATTAAAATTCAGGAAAAATCTAAAATTGAAAATCAGGCTCAGAAAAAAATTTGAACTCAGAAAAAAAATTTAGGCTCAGAAAATATCTTCAATTAAAAATTAAAGTTCAAGAAAAATCTAAAATTGAAAATCAGGCTCAGAAAAAAATTTTAGGCTCAGAAAATATCTTTAATTAAAAATTAAAGTTCAAGAAAAATCTGAAATTGAAAATGAGGCTCAGAAAAAAATTTGAACTCAGAAAAAAATTTAAGGTTCAGAAAATATCTTTAATTGGAAATTAAAATTCAAGAAAAATCTAAAATCGAAAATCAGGCTCAGAAAAAAATTTGAACTCAGAAAAAAATTTTAGAATCAGAAAATATCTTCAATTGGAAATTAAAGTTCAAGAAAAATCTAAAGTCGAAAATCAGGGTCAGAAAAAAATTTTAGGCTCAGAAAATATCTTTAATTGGAAATTAAAATTCAGAAAAAATCTAAAATTGAAAATCAAGCTCAGAAAAAAATTTGAACTCAGAAAAAAATTTTAGGCTCAGAAAATATCTTCAATTAAAAATTAAAGTTCAAGAAAAATCTAAAATTGAAAATCAGGCTCAGAAAAAAATTTGAACTCAGAAAAAAATTTAAGGTTCAGAAAATATCTTTAATTGGAAATTGAAATTCAGGAAAAATCTAAAATTGAAAATCAGGCTCAGAAAAAAATTTGAACTCAGAAAAAAATTTAAGGTTCAGAAAATATCTTTAATTGGAAATTAAAATTCAGGAAAAATCTAAAATTGAAAATCAGGCTCAGAAAAAAATTTGAACTCAGAAAAAAATTTTAGAATCAGAAAATATCTTCAATTAAAAATTAAAGTTCAAGAAAAATCTAAAATTGAAAATCAGGCTCAGAAAAAAATTTGAACTCAGAAAAAAATTTTAGAATCAGAAAATATCTTCAATTAAAAATTAAAGTTCAAGAAAAATCTAAAATTGAAAATCAGGCTCAGAAAAAAATTTGAACTCAGAAAAAAATTTAAGGTTCAGAAAATATCTTTAATTGGAAATTAAAATTCAGGAAAAATCTAAAATTGAAAATCAGGCTCAGAAAAAAATTTGAACTCAGAAAAAAAATTTAGGCTCAGAAAATATCTTCAATTAAAAATTAAAGTTCAAGAAAAATCTAAAATTGAAAATCAGGCTCAGAAAAAAATTTGAACTCAGAAAAAAATTTTAGAATCAGAAAATATCTTCAAATGGAAATTAAAGTTCAGGAAAAATCCAAAATTGAAAATCAGGCTCAGAAAAAAATTTGATCTCAGAAAAAAATTTAAGGTTCAGAAAATATCTTCAAATGGAAATTAAAGTTCAGGAAAAATCTAAAATTGAAAATCAAGCTCAGAAAAAAATTTGAACTCAGAAAAAAATTTTAGGCTCAGAAAATATCTTTAATTAAAAATTAAAGTTCAAGAAAAATCTAAAATTGAAAATCAGGCTCAGAAAAAAATTTGAACTCAGAAAAAAATGATAGGCTCAGAAAATATCTTTAATTGAAAATTAAAGTTCAAGAAAATTTTAAAATTGAAAATCAGGCTCAGAAAAAAATTTGAACTCAGAAAAAAATTTAAGGTTCAGAAAATATCTTTAATTGGAAATTAAAATTCAGGAAAAATCTAAAATTGAAAATCAAGCTCAGAAAAAAATTTGAACTCAGAAAAAAATTTTAGGCTCAGAAAATATCTTCAATTAAAAATTAAAGTTCAAGAAAAATCTAATATTGAAAATCAGGCGCAGAAAAAAATTTGAACTCAGAAAAAATTTAAGGTTCAGAAAATATCTTTAATTGGAAATTAAAATTCAGGAAAAATCTAAAATTGAAAATCAAGCTCAGAAAAAAATTTGAACTCAGAAAAAAATTTTAGAATCAGAAAATATCTTTAATTGGAAATTAAAATTCAGGAAAAATCTAAAATTGAAAATCAAGCTCAGAAAAAAATTTGAACTCAGAAAAAAAAATTAGGCTCAGAAAATATCTTCAATTAAAAATTAAAGTTCAAGAAAAATCTAAAGTTGAAAATCAGGCTCAGAAAAAAATTTCAACTCAGAAAAAAATTTAAGGTTCAGAAAATATCTTTAATTGGAAATTAAAATTCAGGAAAAAACTAAAATTGAAAATCAAGCTCTGAAAAAAATTTGAACTCAGAAAAAAAATTTAGGCTCAGAAAATATCTTCAATTAAAAATTAAAGTTCAAGAAAAATCTAAAATCGAAAATCAGGCTCAGAAAAAAATTTGAACTCAGAAAAAAATGATAGGCTCAGAAAATATCTTTAATTAAAAATTAAAGTTCAAGAAAATTTTAAAATTGAAAATCAGGCTCAGAAAAAAATTTGAACTCAGAAAAAAATTTAAGGTTCAGAAAATATCTTTAATTGGAAATTAAAATTCAAGAAAAATCTAAAATCGAAAATCAGGCTCAGAAAAAAATTTGAACTCAGAAAAAAATTTTAGAATCAGAAAATATCTTCAATTGGAAATTAAAGTTCAAGAAAAATCTAAAGTCGAAAATCAGGGTCAGAAAAAAATTTGACCTCAGAAAAAAATTTTAGGCTCAGAAAATATCTTTAATTGGAAATTAAAATTCAGAAAAAATCTAAAATTGAAAATCAAGCTCAGAAAAAAATTTGAACTCAGAAAAAAATTTTAGAATCAGAAAATATCTTTAATTGGAAATTAAAATTCAGGAAAAATCTAAAATTGAAAATCAAGCTCAGAAAAAAATTTGAACTCAGAAAAAAATTTTAGGCTCAGAAAATATCTTCAATTAAAAATTAAAGTTCAAGAAAAATCTAAAATTGAAAATCAGGCTCAGAAAAAAATTTGAACTCAGAAAAAAATTTAAGGTTCAGAAAATATCTTTAATTGGAAATTGAAATTCAGGAAAAATCTAAAATTGAAAATCAGGCTCAGAAAAAAATTTGAACTCAGAAAAAAAATTTAGGCTCAGAAAATATCTTCAATTAAAAATTAAAGTTCAAGAAAAATCTAAAATTGAAAATCAGGCTCAGAAAAAAATTTGAACTCAGAAAAAAATTTAAGGTTCAGAAAATATCTTCAAATGGAAATTAAAGTTCAGGAAAATCTAAAATTGAAAATCAGGTTCAGAAAAAATTTAAAAATAATTAAAAAGTACAAGTATGTCATGTCAAATGTACGTTTTTATTGGTAAATTTCAAAGATTCCTTTTATTTTAGACCAAAACCAATCAATTTACAGGAAAACAAACAATGAAGCAATGTTGCCAAATTTACGTAAATTACCTTGTAGCAATCATTATCCACATACTGAGGAATAATTTCTTCAATGAGTTTAGCAGAAGCTGCGGAAACTTCCGAAGGCTTAATTAGGACGCAATTTCCGGCCGCCAGGGCTCCGTGAAACGGCAACAGTGTCAACTGAATGGGATAATTCCAGGCGCCTTAAAAATCAAATTGTACTAAATTTATAGTACATTTTTATATATTGACTAACCTATAACCAAAACCACTCCATAAGGTTCTCTCTGCACGTAAGCTGTATCCAACAAATTCGCCAAATCCTTCTCCACGTATTCGGGCCGAGCCCATTGGTCCAAATTCCACAAAGTATTCTTCAAATCGTTGACCAAAAAGTCAATTTCCATTACAATTGCCTCGGCCGGACATTTTCGGAGATCATCGTGCAACGCTCGGACAATTTCGTCTTTTTTTTCTGAGTACATTCTGAGCAAATTTCTGAGCTGAGTAATTCGGAAACTCAGCGGCCGAGTTTTGCCGGAGCGGAACGAGTTGCGCAGCTCGGCCACCAGTTCCGCAGGATTTGGCATCTTGAGATTTTTGTACTATAATTTAATTTTTCAATAAGAAAAATCTTGATATATTGGCGAAGGAACAAAAAAATCAGTCCTTGACAGTTTGGCGAAGGCATTTTCAATAAGAGAAAAATTATTAAAAACTAAAAATTCTACAATTATCCAAAAAAATACCGATAAATAAATAAATAAATAAATAATTAGCTGGAAAAAATAAACAAATACATATTTATTATAAACAATTAAAAAATAGTTCAGATTAAAAAAAAAAAAAAACCAACTTATTGATTATTTTTGCATGTTTCACTTACTTTGCAATAAACAAAATCAAATTGTTGCTAATTTTATGCCAATAATTAACAAAAATACTAAATAAATAATTGTTTAAACAAATTTAAATTTATTTATCTGGGAAAAATATAAATGACTTGTGTTTTTGTTATTTTACTTGATTAGTGAGGTTATGTTGTTATGTCAAATTGAAACAGAAATCTGTAATTTGCCATTTTTGGCCGCCCGTAACTAGATGGCGCCACAAACTGTCAGGCAAAGTAAAATAGAAATCTGTACTTTTTAATAGATTTCTATTTATCGCGATTTGAAAAAATTCCATTGCAAACACGATAAATAGAATTCTATTCAAAAATATTTTCTTAATTTTAAATGAAATTTTGACATTCATGTAATAGAATTCTATTTATCGTGGGTAGAGAAAAATTTGTAAAATTTTTTTGACAGTATCGATATAGTTTATAAAAAAAAAAACATCGACTTGCACTGATTTTGCACTAACTGTTCTAACTTTGCACTAAGAACAAAAAAGTGTCGAATTTTAATGTTCCAATGGTTCTCGATTCAATAGAATTCTATTTATCGCAAAATTCGATCGCAAATTATAATTTGGCACAACGATTTTCAAGCGCCTGGAATCGACAAAAAATGCACTTTCAATCAGAATCTATTTTAAAAGTCGTTCGAACTTGACTGGAATTCTGGAACACGATAAATAGAATTCTATTTACACAAAATAGTTCATTGCTATTTTGGTTGTTAAATTAATAGAATTCTATTTTATTAGGAGTGTTCTGTGTTTAACTAAAATCCAGTTCCAGATCAATTCTATGTGCTCTAAGGACGAAAGCTTGACCAAGAACCTGTTCCGAACTCGTTCGTTGTTGAAAAATCTTGTACTATGAACTGGTTCGCAGTCAAAAAATGCAAAATAAGTGTTCTAGATCACATATTGAATTTGTTCGATTGTGTTCCGCATTTATCAATTGCTGCTCTGTACTAGAAAAAAGTTTGAACTGGTTTATAATTATACGCATATGGTGCAGGAGAATCCTAAATTAGTATTCTGCACTAACAGTTCTAACTTTGCACCAAGTGCAAAAAAGTGTTTGATTATAAGTTCCAATTAGTCAGTAATCTTACTCTATGAGCTGTGAATACAAAATTTGAACTGATAGAGTAAAGCTTTTTTTGCTCTATTCACTCCAAAAAATACCTGTTCTGGCTCCGCTCCATGTCATAATATTTAGGGCCCAAATAATTTTGAATAGAATTCTATTTTAGTAACCAGCAAACGCTTATTATTTGACAGCTATATCCGTTACATTTGCCGTTGAAAATAGAATTCTATTTATAGTGTTATTTTCAAGTGATTTTCAAATCAAATTTGAGAATGTTTGGAGTAAATTTTTTCTACTCTGAACCATGTGCTCCGAATAAAAAATCCGAACAGATAGAGTGAAACTTTTTTTGCTCTTTTCACTTCAAAAATACTGTTCTGGCTCCGCTCTATGTCATAATATTTGGGGCCCAAATAATTTCAAATCGAATTCTATTTTAGTAACCAGCAAACACTTATTATTTGACAGCTATTTCTGTTACATTAGTCATTGAAAATAGAATTCTATTTATTGTGTTATTTTCAATTGATTTTCAATCCCAATTTGAGAACGTTTGGAGTAAATTTTTTCTACTCTGAACCATGTGCTCCGAATAAAAAATCCGAACCGATAGAGTAAAACTAATTTTTTTGCACCCGTTAAAAAAATTTACACCTGTCATTTTGTCCATTTATCTTCGAAAAAAAGTGACAAGGAGATGTCAGAAAAATTCGGGATAAAGAGGGTTCGATAGCTGATGTTCTAATCTGTCAAAATCGATTTTGACATTTGACACCTGTCAATTTTTTTTTTTTAATTTTTTGAATAATTTATGCGGTATATATGTAAAAAAAATTTTAAATTTTTTTGCACCCGTTAAAAAAATTTACACCTGTCATTTTGTCCATTTATCTTCGAAAAAAAGTGACAAGGAGATGTCAGAAAAATTCGGGATAAAGAGGGTTCGACAGCTGATGTTCTAACCTGTCAAAATCGATTTTGACATTTGACACCTGTCAATTTTTTTTTTTCAAATTTTTGAATAATTTATGCAATATATATGTAAAAAAAAAATTAAATTTTTTTGGACCTGTTTAAAAATTTTACAGCTGTCATTTTGTCCAATTATCTTCGAAAAAAAGTGACAAGGAGATGTCAGAAAAATTCGGGATAAAGAGGGTTCGATAGCTGATGTTCTAACCTGTCAAAATCGATTTTGACATTTGACACCTGTCAAATTTTTTTTTTTACATTTTTTGAATAATTTATGCAGTAATATGTAAAAAAAATTTTAAATTTTTTTGCACCCGTTAAAAAAATTTACACCTGTCATTTTGTCCAATTATCTTCGAAAAAAAGTGACAAGGAGATGTCAGAAAAATTCAGGATAAAGAGGGTTCGATAGCTGATGTTCTAATCTGTCAAAATCGATTTTGACATTTGACACCTGTCAATTTTTTTTTTTTAATTTTTTTAATAATTTATGCGGTATATATGTAAAAAAAAATTTAAATTTTTTTGCACCCGTTAAAAAAAATTACACCTGTCATTTTGTCCATTTATCTTCGAAAAAAAGTGACAAGGAGATGTCAGAAAAATTCAGGATAAAGAGGGTTCGATAGCTGATGTTCTAACCTGTCAAAATCGATTTTGACATTTGACACCTGTCAATTTTTTTTTTTTAATTTTTTTAATAATTTATGCGGTATATATGTAAAAAAAAATTTAAATTTTTTTGCACCCGTTAAAAAAATTTACACCTGTCATTTTGTCCATTTATCTTCGAAAAAAAGTGACAAGGAGATGTCAGAAAAATTCGGGATAAAGAGGGTTCGATAGCTGATGTTCTAATCTGTCAAAATCGATTTTGACATTTGACACCTGTCAATTTTTTTTTTTAATTTTTTTTAATAATTTATGCGGTATATATGTAAAAAAAATTTTAAATTTTTTTGCACCCTTTAAAAAAATTTACACCTGTCATTTTGTCCATTTACCTTCGAAAAAAAGTGACAAGAAGATGTCAGAAAAATTCGGGATAAAGAGGGTTCGATAGCTGATGTTCTAATTTGTCAAAATCGATTTTGACATTTGACACCTGTCAATTTTTTTTTTTAATTTTTTTTAATAATTTATGCGGTATATATGTAAAAAAAATTTTAAATTTTTTTGCACCCTTTAAAAAAATTTACACCTGTCATTTTGTCCATTTACCTTCGAAAAAAAGTGACAAGAAGATGTCAGAAAAATTCGGGATAAAGAGGGTTCGATAGCTGATGTTCTAATTTGTCAAAATCGATTTTGACATTTGACACCTGTCAATTTTTTTTTTTAATTTTTTTTAATAATTTATGCGGTATATATGTAAAAAAAATTTTAAATTTTTTTGCACCCTTTAAAAAAATTTACACCTGTCATTTTGTCCATTTACCTTCGAAAAAAAGTGACAAGAAGATGTCAGAAAAATTCGGGATAAAGAGGGTTCGATAGCTGATGTTCTAATCTGTCAAAATCGATTTTGACATTTGACACCTTCAAATTTTTTTTTAAAATTTTTTTTAATAATTTATGCGGTATATAATATGTAAAAAAATTTTTAAATTTTTTTGCACCCGTTAAAAAAATTTACACCTGTCATTTTGTCCATTTATATTCGAAAAAAAGTGACAAGAAGATGTCAGAAAAATTCGGGATAAAGAGGGTTCGATAGCTGATGTTCTAATTTGTCAAAATCGATTTTGACATTTGACACCTGTCAATTTTTTTTTTTAATTTTTTTTAATAATTTATGCGGTATATATGTAAAAAAAATTTTAAATTTTTTTGCACCCTTTAAAAAAATTTACACCTGTCATTTTGTCCATTTATATTCGAAAAAAAGTGACAAGGAGATGTCAGAAAAATTCGGGATAAAGAGGGTTCGATAGCTGATGTTCTAATCTGTCAAAATCGATTTTGACATTTGACACCTGTCAATTTTTTTTGTTTTAATTTTTTGAATAATTTATGCAGTATATATGTAAAAAAAAATTTAAATTTTTTTGCACCCGTTAAAAAAATTTACACCTGTCATTTTGTCCATTTATATTCGAAAAAAAGTGACAAGGAGATGTCAGAAAAATTCGGGATAAAGAGGGTTCGATAGCTGATGTTCTACCTGTCAAAATCGATTTTGACATTTGACACCTGTCAAATTTTTTTTTTCAATTTTTTGAATAATTTATGCAGTATATATGTAAAAAAAAATTTAAATTTTTTTGGACCTGTTTAAAAATTTTACAGCTGTCATTTTGTCCAATTATCTTCGAAAAAAAGTGACAAGGAGATGTCAGAAAAATTCGGGATAAAGAGGGTTCGATAGCTGATGTTCTAACCTGTCAAAATCGATTTTGACATTTGACACCTGTCAATTTTTTTTTTTTAATTTTTTTAATAATTTATGCGGTATATATGTAAAAAAAAAATTAAATTTTTTTGCACACGTTAAAAAAATTTACACCTGTCATTTTGTCCAATTATCTTCGAAAAAAAGTGACAAGGAGATGTCAGAAAAATTCGGGATAAAGAGGGTTCGATAGCTGATGTTCTAATCTGTCAAAATCGATTTTGACATTTGACACCTGTCAAATTTTTTTTTTAATTTTTTTGAATAATTTATGCGGTATATATGTAGAAAAAATTTTAAATTTTTTTGCACCCGTTAAAAAAATTTACACCTGTCATTTTGTCCATTTATCTTCGAAAAAAAGTGACAAGGAGATGAGAGAAAAATTCGGGATAAAGAGGGTTCGATAGCTGATGTTCTAATCTGTCAAAATCGATTTTGACATTTGACACCTGTCAAATTTTTTTTTAATTTTTTTGAATAATTTATGCGGTAGGTATATATGTAAAAAAAATTTTAAATTTTTTTGCACCCGTTAAAAAATTTACACCTGTCATTTTGTCCAATTATCTTCGCAAAAAAGTGACAAGGAGATGTCAGAAAAATTCGGGATAAAGAGGGTTCGATAGCTGATGTTCTAATCTGTCAAAATCGATTTTGACATTTGACACCTGTCAAAAT